CAGGAGTTTGGACTAGAGACCTCCTGAGATCCCTTCCAGCCTGAATTATCCAGCGGTCTGATGAAAAACAAGATTTTGTTAGCTGAGTATTAAAGATCTTTTTAATAAACATCGCCATGACGTGGCTTTCCAGAATGACTGTTTTGTTCAAGCCGGCAGACTTCTGAAAACGAGGATTGAAATGCTGCATGCTGTTGGCTTTACTGGCAGTCAGCAGAAATCCGTGGAGTTACGAGCCCATGCTCCAGCTGCCCTCACTGGGTTCAGTGTGATTACGCTGAGGGAGAGCGCTCCATCAGCTTACCAGAGGTGGGACACAGGCAGTCTCAGGGCATGAGGCTCTACTCAGCCTTCCTTCCCGCAATACAGCAAAGATGCAGACCATCTAAATTAACATACGGAAATTTTGGCCACTTGAAACAGTTGTGATTTAAATGGAAATTGAGTTTTAAACCTCAGCTAGAACAGAACGGTTGCTTTGCTATGATGATTTTATAAATGATGATTTCTCAGACTTCCTTCCTTCATTTTTCTTGATAATTTAAAAGCATGCAGCATCTTTTCAATGTTTATATTATTATTACTTTAATTTTTTCATTCTTTACTAATAAAATTTCCCCCTATAACATTACATTGTTCCTCCAGATTAAAAATACATTTTTTCCCCCCTTCATTTTTGCTTTTATTTTTATTAAATTCAACCTGCAAACCTTCGTTGCTTTTTTGGTAGTCATCTCTCCTTTCTCATTTACATTGCAGGAAGTTGGAGGTTTAAGGGGGCTGGGGAGAGGAGTGAGATGAGCTTTTATAGTTGCAGTCTTTGAGCAGCCTCTTGTGAGGTTACTTCTGACACTTGCTGTTGATAACTGACTTCTTTTTAAAAAGAACTGTCTAAGCGTAAGTTATGGTGCCTTTTTGGATTCCACAGCCTTCTTCCACATGTGGATTTTTGTAATGGCTCCAATCTGACCTTCTTCATTAAATTACTTAGTTCAATAGAATCTGAGTTCTTGAAATCTGATATGCCAGTCTGGTTTATGATGTACATCTATCTTGTATCTGCATTCCATGTACAGTACTAAATTCAAGTGGCTCTTGCTCTGATTTCAATCGACCCACCGGTTTCTTTCTGCTGATAAGAAATTAATTCAATATGGTTTCCCATTGACCCATTTTTTTAAACTGTAAAGTTATTCTGTATTAAGTAGAAGCCAACTTTGATGCATGTTCAGTATATTTTTTTGCCCAGTGAATCTATGGGAAGATAATTTCTCCCACAGTTGTGGTATCCTGTGATTTCCAGTCCTGTGAGAACTGGCCATGCATTTTTTTAATTCTCGCTTTCATCTGGTTGTGATGGTTTATAAGCAGATGTTTATTGTTCTCTCTCTTTCTTCCCCGCTCCCCATTCTTGCTAACTTAATACAAAGCCGGTTGCTACCACTATTTTCCTTGTCATGTTATAAATATTGGACACAATAAATGCCCATGATTCATAAAATCATTATAATTATATTTTGGGATCCTTGGTGGTTAATTTGCTTTTCCTGCTCACAAAAAAGTTGTTTAAAAATCACAAGTCACTTTCCAGTAATGTTAACTCTGCAGCAGCTTTAAAACTAATTTTCAGGTCTGTATGTCTATTTTTGTAAAGAAGTCTTTGAGTTTACAATAGAAAGTGAGATGTTTACTTAAGTAATGCATCTGATTGAACTTATTGTGTGGTATGTAATTATAAAAAAATCTTTCCACATGCAACAAATATGTATCTTTATATTCAGGCTTGTTTGAAGAGCAGTTAGGCCATATTTTTATAATTTCTTTTATGTCTTTCACTACTAATTTATTTTGTGGTGGTGTTTGGTATATTTCTGTCCCTGAAGTTTCATTGAAGTCTGCTTTAAACACAACTAGACTTTACATTTATGAAATTTCTAGCTGTTTATGGAATGGCTCCCCCAAAGACATTGGAAATCTTATGTTTTGGTTGGCATATTAATTCAACATCTGAAGGATAAAGTCCTGAATTAGAAGTGAGAGATACAGACTTGAATTATTTTTATTTGTTTGCTTAAAGAAAGGAAAATGCTCATTGAATCTTGAAACTTTAGTCAATAACAAGAGAAAATAGTAGTTTTCTGAATATTTGCTTTATGGAGCAGATCAGGTAATAACTTGAAACTATTGTTCTTGGTATCAACAAAATACTGTATTTTTTCCCCCACCAGTAAAAGATCTAAGTTCCCCGTACCAAGATCTTTGTCACTGACTGCAATTTTTTTGATACTGAGGTGAACAGTTATATCTGCTGTCTCCCTGTATCTTCAATAGAAATTTTTGGGAGGCTATTATGTGGTATGTATTGTTGGGAAGAGGATTTATGCTATCTCCTGTTGGGTTTTGTTTTTTTTTTTTCTTTTCTCAGTAATGCTGACACTGCATTAGATGATTTGTTGAAGTGATAAGTGGTATGAATTTTTCAAAAAGTTGTTTTCTTGGTTGTCATCTAGTGTCAGTAATGAGGACCTGTTCATAGAAGTTCCTTATTTAAATGGACTTTGGGGACAGGCTTTATGTGAGGTTTTCACATTGTACAAAATTGTATAAATTATAATATGAATTTTATATTTGAGATGTTATATAAATTATGTAGTTACATTAACTGTGCCTTGAAATCTTAAAATTAAATTTACAGCTGTTGAAAAGGTTCTGTTAAGAGACAGCAGTATATGGATTGAATTAGTAATTTTGATTGATTTATCTTTGCATGAAGTACTAAGGTTTTTTTCTTGATCACAGACAACCTATCACAACAAGTTTGTGTAATTACCGATGTGAATGAAGCCATTGCACAAGTAGGTTTTCTCCTTCACGAATCTCTGAAAAGCCAAATAAAAGTAAGTACGACTCTATGGCTCTAAACTGTATGATTAATTTAATGTTTCTGGTTGTTACAACCCTTAAGAAACGGTCTAAATAATGTAAATACAGAAACTGAGACCTCCTGTTTCACTGAAGTATTTATTACAAGGGATTAACACCAGGTGTGGACGTTACCAAAAAAGAAGCATCTTCTGCCCAATTATGCTGTAGAGGGGGGTCTTACAGATCCTCTTAAAATGTATATATTAGATTAGAGGAGAAATTGGATCCAGACATCAGAGAGGCCATTTTCTTTAGATTTTATGAAATCAGTAAGGCCAAATTGTTACAAATATGTTACAGAGGAAATGCTTTGTTACTTTGAAGTCTAAATTAAAGTCTGAAGCAATTAAAGCGTAAGCTGTATTCCTGCAGAGCTGTGAATGCAAAGTCAAATTAATCAGCTTTTTTGCAGCGAGGTAGGGATACATTTCACTCATAGGAATGCTCATTGAAGCCTTTGCTGTAGCATATTGATGGAATTTTCTACTGGCATTTAACTGTCTTCCTTTTTCATTATTCCTAGTCATAGAACTATCACATATTTTCATTTTCCCAAGGGTGATTAACATTTGGTAATTGCTTAAATCTTGATTTGATCTTGGGGTGATCCTTAATTATATCTTATGTGATGATATCACATCTTTCTATTACCCAGAGAAACAGATAGGGAATAGCTGTTAAAAAATACAGGTTTCCTGATTTGCATAATGTTACTTCTGTTTTCGTTTTATTCATGTCTGTTGATCTTCTGCATTTTGTGCTTAGATAATAGTAGGATGTTCTTTTGTAGCAAACTATATTGCTATTTTATATCTAGAAATGTCATTTGACATTGTACTTAGAGTTTTTGTTTGGAAAGAATTGTATTTAGTATGGAAAATCATGCTTTATATCTATTAAATATCTACATTTAGAAGTGCAAAACATTATTAGGGTTGAACAAGATTTTTTTATTGTCTGAACAGCTGTATAATGAAGGAGAATCACAGAATCATTAAGGTTGGAAAAGACCTTTAAGATCATGAAGTCCAACCATCAGCCCAACACCACTGTATGTTTCCATTTCACTGATACCAGATCCATTGCTACTTTTCCTTTTTTTCTTTTTAAACTATTCTGCAATTACTAGGAAGACATCATTTACCCATAGAAGAAAATAAGTCAACACTTAAAGTAGTACATATCTATATCTTATATATTATATTTACATATAACACTTGCATCATACCATGAGAAACACTTCCAAGCCAGTAAGAAAAGTCAAAGAATGTGTTGTGTTTGATCAGCCACCACTGTGACTCCAAACTTAGCAACCCCAAATCAGACTGGCACCAAAACTAGTTAAAATTTACGATGTTTCCAAATTTTCATTGCAAAACCAGCTAATTGTTGGGTTGTTCAGGCACCTGAACCTGTGGTGCATTTGAATAAAACACACATAAAATGACCACAAACAATGCAATGATGGCGTAAAATGAAGGGATTCCTACTGATATAGGCCTGAATTTTTTGTGATGGCTCTATTAAAGCAGTTTATTTAGTTGAAGATTTCTACCACCATTCCTCTTTTTTGATCCTTGTTGTCCTTCCTCATAATGAAGTCGATTGATTGTTAAATTTCTCTTCAACACTTTCAAAATATTCCTGCAAAGTGACACCTGCTAAAGAACTCCAGCAATGCCTTGTATTGTTCCTTGAGACATCCTTAGTCATTCATTTTATGAACCATTAGATTGAAAATCTATAAAAACTAATATTTATGTATTGAGTGTCTTGTTTCTAAACAGTAAAATCTCTAAGAGTTATTTTATAAGATTACCAATATACAGAACTTCTAAATTTGAAGCACCTTGGAAAGAATATATGCACTGACCTATGATTTCTCAAGTGAAGCGCAGTAGCCTTGTGAGAGAGAGGCTTGACTGTGTACGGAGTGATAATTATTTTAAGCAAGTTAAACATACCACACTGAAAACTGGACCTTTTTGAAGGGCTAATTGGAGGGTAATTGATCTAAATAAGACACCCATTGGGAATCATTCAGTAGAGTATGTATTATCTGAAATTTAAACTGTGGTCAGTATTTTAACATTTTGGATAGTTTTGACACTAGTTCTTAGTAGCAGCCATATTTACTTTTAAGATACTTGTTAATTTCTAGATGCATACTTAAAGAACCCTTAAAGAAGAATTAAAAAGAAATTTTGTTAGAGGGATTTCTGAAAGAGACTACAATAACATAATGCCAATAACAGGGGAAAAAAGACAACGGTTATTGCTTGCAAAGTACTTTAAGAGTAAGTATTTTAATGAGTGTCACTGTAAAAACTGTATAACTAATAAATGAATGTTTTACAGAAGATACCTTACTGTGAAAAACATAAGTTGAGTCTTTCCTTAAGTTTGTTATTTAGCCCTTTCCTTTGAAGCAAGCAAACCTAAATGGGGACTGAAGGTGTTTTCTTTTGTGACTGTAAATCATGTACTCATGCTTATTCAGTGACTAGGTGCTCCTGTCACATGAAATGTAATCAACTAGATGAAGTTCTGTGTTATTTATGTGACTGAATAAATATCCACATGCAGTATATAAAAATACTCGGTTGTTTTCAATTAGGAAATGAACTAGTGTTTCACTAGTAGAAAGTCACTGATTTCTTAATCATTGCTTTGTCCATCTGTTGGATTGCTATTTAATTGTGATTTTAAATTTGAGATAATTTAACTAACTTTTACAGATTCCCAATGTCCTGGTATTATCTTTTAATTTTATGAAAGTGGATATTGACTAAAGTTGAAACCTCAGCACAGGGCATCTGATAAGTAGAAAAACTTTAAAGAAAACGTATTTTTTTTATTCCTCTGTTCATGTTCATAAAAACTTACTATCCCTGCTTCTTTACACTAGCTGAACATCAATTGCTACAATGACTAGAAGTGATTAAGCAAATCCATATACTTTTTTCTATTTAAACATTAAAACATTGTGACAAACACTTTTTACTGAGGTGGTATTTTTAGGTAATTTTTGCTCTCTCAAGTAGCTGATAACTTTGATTAATTTGAATTTAAAAATTACTTTTGCATAGGATACTAACCTGCCAAATAGAATAAGTATTCATTTTAGTTAATTGATGATGACTTGAAGCTTCTAGTTAGGCAGCTGTGCTTACTTTTCCAAGAGAGAAATCTCTTTTAATTTTTGGTGGATAATATGGCTGTAAAACAAAGGCTCACTGTACTGCTTGATCAAATTGTTCAAGTTAAACCAAAACTCTGGTACATTAAATTAATTTTTAAATGTTCAGGAATACTTAAGCATCATGTATTGTAATATCTCAAGGAAAAAGAAAGTAGGCCTTCTCCCTTGAGTCATGTTCCATTTACCTTCTGAAAAGACTGTGGCATTCAGTCTGCTCCTGTTCATCTAAGTATCTGCAAGGCTGTAAAGGTACTGGGGATTTCTCATTTTACTTCTACAAAAGTTCAAACCAGGAGAGCCCTAGAGTATTGCATTTTTAAAGTATTTTAAGTAATACTTGCCTTCTCTGATTTTTTTTTTTTTAAATCTCTAAAATATTAAATGTTAACTATCTGAGGTTGTGTTATCAAATTTTCAGCCCAAAATGTTTCTAAAATCTTTAGTGTATAAATATCAACTTTTGGGTTTCAAGCTACCTTCCTTTGTAAACAAGTTAGTTCCCCAGGTATTAAAAAAATAAACAAATACAGCTTTAGATAACAGCACAAAGCCTTCTTAAATGTTGTATTTGGTACTTCTGTTGGATTGTAGATTAAGTGACATTTCTAGGGAACACAGACAGTGTATTGCTTCTGTTGTTTGCTGCTGTATATAATATGTCTTCTGGGCAGAAATAAAGCTCATTTGAACAGTGAAACAGTGAGTTTTAATAGAAGCAACATTAAGATTTTTTTCTGACTTATTTTCAAATCTTTTTATTGGCTTCAAAGTATTATCTTCTTGTAGGGAACAAATTCGCCTTCCATGACCTGGTTTGCTGTTTTACTTAAGGCAATCCTGAAGCTGAAAATGTAGTAGAATCTACCTTTTATTTTAATTAGGATAATACAATTTCTTAGCTGGTGTTAAAGGTTGTGAAATAAGTATGTCTGTGATTGAGACAGCATTTTGAAGTATTCATTGAGGAAATTATTTTCAGGAGAAATTCTAAATGAGTCTTGTCATACGCAGAACCTAGAATACCTGTGCACCTGGTCTTTCATATGTACTTCTTCATTTATTTAATTTTTAGTTGCATGAAGATTAAAATACATATGTATTTGAGTATTATAGAGATTTTCTCAGAATTAGAGGTCTAAAATAATTAGGTTGTCTTGGTCCTATGAACAGTGCTTTCATCTCTGGGAACAGTTGAACATCCTAACCCAGGCAGCAGCACTAGTGTCTGATACTTCCAGGGCTGTTTCTGGAATGGCCCCCCCAGCACAAACTTACAGAAAAATCTGCAGACTGTTGGATTCCTGTTGAGTCACCTAAAAATTTGAGCAATTTTTAATTTTTAAAAATTTTTAATTCTTGTGGTGGAAATAGTATTTGCCAATTTTAAATAATTTGAATGAACAAAATCTGCCATAATGGTGCAAGCTGTAGCAGATAGTTAAGGCTGAAGTCAGATTTGTACATAGTACAAATAGTAATAGTAAATAGACATAGTAATTTACTTTTTTTTTTCAGGTCGAAGCTGTATCAGTATCTCTAACCAAAAATGATAGCCATCTACAAAACATATTTTCAGGACAGTGCTACAATTTTGTTTGCGTAAATGTAAGTAGTAAGGATGCATACTTTATGTTTTGCACATAAACTTATTAGTCATGGTAAATAATAATTACATATTTGAATAATGAATTGCTTGTTATTTCTATCCTCTTGGTGTATCCATTCTGACATTTGGTGTTTCTGATGTGCACCAAACTAGACAGTTGAGATACTGGTCCGTTCTTTCTCTCCTGCTTCTGCACTTCCATCGGTATGTTCTTAAACCAACCATGAATTCTTGAACAAGAGGGATACAACTGAAAGTAGCTTGAAATTTCCTTTCATAGATATTGTATCGAAGTGAATTGTCTCAAGAAGAGGTATGTCATATGTGCAGTCATCTAACTGTGCATTGCTACCATGGCCTTAATTAGTGTTTCCAATTTTGCATGCCATGTGATCTGTATTTGGGTCCCTATATGGGAACAGGAAGGTTTTAGATAAACCATATCTGACATCAGTCATGACCCTTAAGCTTGTTATATTTCTAGAGGGTAATATTATTAATCTCATTTTATTTTCGAGCAGCTATAACTTCACCAGACAAAAGTGTTACAGATATATTAAAGCCAACCAACCCAAAACCCCCAAAACCAAAACTGTGATGTATCTTTTTTTTGGTAAATAACAGATCTTTGAATTCCATTTTAATGAAATCATTGTTTAATGTTTTCAGTAATTCTAAACATTTATTTTCATTTAGGATAAAAAGTTTGCCATTCAAGAAACCCAGCAACTAGTGGATGTGTTGGAAAAATCAAATATGCCTCTCTTATATCCAGTTGTCCTTATCTTGGTAGGTAACTCCTGTAAGTTACTGTAGAAAACATCTAATGAAATATTTTAAAATGTTAGACTAGATTTAAACTGCTGCTAACTCTGAATGAAATTGTAAATTTTAACTGTAATTCGGGCTGTAAAGAGCATCATTTGCACTTCAGCACATGTACTACATGCTGTCAGGAAATAAACCAACACTAGCAAATGACAATTTATTAGTTATATATTCTGTGAGAGACTCATTGTGGCTAGTCATATTGAACTGTTAACTCCTGCTTTGCTGTTGTGCTCCATCTCTGCTTGGGATGCTGCAAGTGATGTACTCTGCTTGAATGCTTAGTCGAAACAGAATTAAGTGGCTTTATTTTTTACTATGCTGTGTGGTTTATTCAAAGTTTTAAAATTATGGTTGCTTTTCTGGTTCAACTATTAAAAATTAACTTTAAAGTATTTGCAATATAACTTTAATACATACTTATTGAGATATTATAAGACTGAAAAAACTATTCTGGTATGTGGCAAGAGTTTTAAAGTGTATTTTTGGCTGAAATTCTCATTATTTGACTTTCTGCTAGAATAATTTAACAATTCATGTGGACAACAGGTGTACATTACTTTTATTTTACTCAGACTGTTAAAAAGGAGAAAATGTGAGTAGATTTGAAAGTCTCTGTGCAGTGTAACCAGGTCGAATTTTTTCTGTCATTACATTTTCTGGCTTAATAGGTAGGGATGAGAAGTATTGGGTGGAATGAGTGTCATTAATGCCATATGTCACAAGGAATGTGTCTCTGGACTACATTTATTATACTCGCCAGCAATAACACGAGATAAAATGTTGTGATTTTAAAATGTGATTCCATATATGAAACTCTGGAAAAAGGAATAAATAGTTATTTCACATGGGGCCTGAATAGTTTCTGAATTGCATAGTCTGGTGATCTGGAGGTGAAACTAAGCATTTACTTCTCAATTTTAAACTTAATCTGAAATTTAAGTGATGAAATTTAATTACTGATCTAAGAAGTAAATGAGTTATCCTGAAGATCAATTACTTTTACAAATGAAAAGTTACATCATTAGTTATTGTATGCTGTTGTCTTGGAGTGAGCTACTGCGATTCTATTATCATCATTATTCAGCACTATTTCTAGACTGTCTTTTTTTCGTGACCCTGTTTCTGAGGAAGTCCAGCGTAGAGCTTTAATTTTAATTTCGAAGATAAATTATGTCTGCCTTTGACAATCAGAGCAATGACACGCCTCCAATTCTGTTGCCCATTTACAAAGCTACTGGATGTGCAGAATGCTTTTTTCTGGACTGAGAAAGTATTCATTAGTCCTTTATCAAGTCTATAAAAGACCATTTCTGTCTGCATTAAATTTTGGGGGTCTGCAGATGAAGTTGGAATTGTTAATGGACTAGGCAATACTAGGTGTCCCTGCTCATTGCAGGGAGGTTGGACTAGATGACCCTTAAAGGTCCCTTTCAACACAAACTCTTCTATGATTCTACGGTGTTGAAAAGAATGCTTATTTTGTGCCTGATTCATAGCTAATCTCTACTCTGGACTTTGAATTAAGTGTTTTTTTTAGTGTGACACACAGAATGTGAGAGCTTTGTTTTAATAATTGTACCTCTAAGTAAGACTTAATATTTCCTGAGAAGTAGGTATGAATGCAAATAATGCTTACACAGGTTCACCATGAAACTCAGGTTTTGTCTCTAAGATACTAGATCGTAGTATCCAGCAAGTCGTCATAGAGTCCAGCACCATTTTTAATGAAGGTGTACTTGCTTGAGCAGCCTGCAGCATGCACAAATTATTTAGGTGGAGACTTTTTAAAATAGCCTCAGGAGAAAATGATACATTTAATCCCTTTACTATACTCCAGATCCATCAGTTGTTCCTGACAACCACTTGAAATTTCCCAAAACTAAGACAGTGGGAGAAAAGTCTCATGACTAGGTGGAAGCAGTTGCTAACATTTAAAACACAGACACACATATATTTGTTGAAAGGATCTTTAAAAAAATGAAGTACCCTGACTATAAAAAGGCATTTTATGCTACACTGTCAAATTTTATGGAGTTGCCACACTATCTTCTACAAATACAAGAAGGAACAAATAGGAGGACTGGAAAGTATGTTTTAAATGACTAAAGAATTAGCTAAAAAAAAAAAAATCATTGTCTCATATTAATCACTGGGAACTATTTAAGGCCTTTAAACTTCTGATCCCTAAAACCCATTACAGATGGTGTGGCTGGAGGATAGAAACTTCCTTCAGCAGTCTTTAATTAAATTCAATGTTGGGTGTCCTTTTTGCTATATACTTCGTTTAACATAAAATTACAATGCCTTGTTAGTGAAAGGTCCTGTAAGACACTTTCTTTTGTTGTAAAAAGGTACATTAACATTTCTCAGGCAAATGTGACTTAAATGTCATCATATTGCTTAAAATTCTAAATGCATAGGTTTTACGTACTAGCTGTATGGGAAACATTATTCTTTTCTACTCTCAAAAGTGAAACTGGTAGTGAAGAATTGAAAGGATAAATAAGAGCAGCTAACTTCTTCCATTCTAACCTCATAGTGAGGAATGGCCTAATATAGACTTTTGTGTAATTGGAAAGTTCTTGTCTCTTCTTCGGTTTCAGGACACATGCAACTTTTTTATAACAATCTGATAATTAAGAGATTCAGTTTTGTTTTTCCTTCCGATGCTCAGCTGCTTTAGTTGTAAAAATGGCAGGTGTTGTTATTGTGCCAGATTGTCTGTTTAACCAGCCTGGGAAAAATTATCCAAGTAAAAGGATGAGCTTGCACTGGACGTGATGTCTTCTCTCCCCATTCCCACCTATAAATTGCCACAGATTTCAAAATCTATCCTTTATCCTGATGCCTGACTGGAGTTTTTTGTGGTGTCCCTAAGCTGAAACAGCAATTGGGCTAGTGTATCCAGACATAGCAGAAAAGGGAAGATTAATGTTACAAGAGAAACAGAAAGCACAGATGTAAACTTCATGCAATTATTTGTCTGCATCAAACCAGTATTCTCCAACTCTGCTATAACCAAAAGAATCATATTCTTAAACTGACATTACTTTTCTGAGTAATACATGTTTGCATTTGTAGATGCTATGAATGGGTATAATTTTTATTTTGTTATTATTACTTTGGGTTAGAAAGAAAGGAATGCTAATACTTCAGCTCTGTAGTTGCCATTATTTGCATTTCAGTATAAAAGTAACTTTGAGAAAAATCTCTTCAAAGCTGTGAAACACGTTAATAGTAAGTAGGTGTTAGGCAGTGTTCTATCAAAATAATAGTTTTTTTAATCTCTTGTAAATAGCTGTAAATGAGCAGTGCTTAGCCTTGTTTTGGGTAAAAAAATAACAGAATAATGAGTGTTTTGAAAATTAATCTCTGCCTGTGTAGTAGAAGACAATAGCTTTGCTCCTGGTGAATATGCACTTAGACAGTAAACAGCTTTTTAAAATGTGTTGCAAGGGAAAATTAGTAAGAAGCTATTATCTGTCAGGATAAATTGAACGTAAGATACAATGGGAACTTGAAATAATTTTCCCAAGCGCAGATCTCTGAGGCTACCTCTATGCTGCTACCTCTCTGTAGTACTTACAGATAAGTTTTATATTGGAGTAATTCATCCAGAAAAATATTTTCTCTTTCTTTTAAGGGGAAAGGTATTTCTGCTATTAATAGATGCTGAAACTTTCTACGTACCAATCATCATCCTTAATTTTGATTTCTACAGTTAATGGAAATTTTGTGAAGTAAACCGATTAAACTGTGGAAGACATAAGCCTTGGGAAAGGATTGAGCTGGTTGATACCTCCCTGGAGATACCAGTTCAGGTCCTGTAAGACCCACCATGTTTGTGCAGCATCCCTGCTGGATGAGAGACGTGCCTTTCCCTGCCCAGGAGCTCAGGATAGTCATATCCCTACCTTCTTTTGAAGTTGTTCCTGCTTTTTAAACTTAAAGTGTTATCTTGAAATTAATCCAATTTAGGCAACTAATATACTATGCTGAAAAGCTAGTAAATTCAAAATAAATCTTTAAAGAATGCAGTTCCATTTTGCAAGCATTTAAGATACTTAAGAAAAACATCTGAGTTTCTCTAGTATCCCGAGAGTAAAAAAAAAAAAAATTTGTGAAAGTTAGAGCTTAGAAAATAATGTTTTTTTGTTTTCTGATTTAATGAAATATTTTTAATATGCAGTAAGAACATTTTGTTCTGATGTATTGTGGTGTATTGGTTTCACTGTGCTTTGAAAAGAAATAATGTTCATGTCACTAAATATAGTGGAATTCAATAGTAATAGAAGCTAACTAAGAAAAAACTTTGTTAGCCTGTATTTTTAGATGTGCTTAACACATAAAAATGAGGTACTAAAAACTGTCAGTCTAAAATAACAAATAATGGAAGAAGTGGAATTTTGTTTTGTTTTTTCTTATTTGTTCCTTCGCAGGTGCACTTGGATATTTCAGAAAATATTTCTTTCAGCATTCTGATGGAAGAACTAACTAGGATCAAAAAATTTGCAAGGGAAGTGAAAAAGAAAAATATTTTGGTGTATAGTCTCCTTATCCAATATAAGGTATGTAATTCTTTTTCTATGTGCAAGTTATCTTCTTTTGTGATTTATATGATTAATGACAGAATCCTCATTTAAAACAAAATCAAAGAGAAATAAATATGACTTGAAAAAGATTTTTGGGGGAAGGGTCTTGTCTGTTCTTGTTCAAAATTCAGAAGAGCCTGTAGTTATAGGCAAAAATGTAAGCATTTTGATTAGAGAGGAAGAAATGGTAAACATTTTTTAGAAGCACATGAAAATGTCAGGGCCCTTTTTATTTTTGCTTTTCTGCTTTGAAACTTGCTTTTTGCAGCATTAAGAAAGTGAAAAATAGTAAAGGTATTGATATGTAATAGTAAAGGTATGATCAGCAGTTCTGCAGAATTTTACATTCCTCATCAAAACAGTATGTGGTATTCAGATGCCAGAAAGGGCATGGCATGTAGGTGTTGAAACAGTGTCCATGTCTGCAATAGCAGCAAATTGCCTCAGCTGGAGGCAAAAAGGGTTAGCAACTCCAGCATCCTTTGTACTCACAAAAGCTATTTAAAAGAAACTGTTTTGCCTGGGAAACATGTTCTGCCAACCAGAAAAGTGGGCTGCCTTGCCTCCAGTCCAGATACAGTCTTTGCAGCTTCTTAACTTAGTCAACAGTGAAAGAAGAAGTAAGTTAGATATTCAGTGGAAATTTTAATAAAGAAGAACAAATGTAATCTCAACTGATTATTTTTTTTAGGTTGAGTTAGGTGTTTGTACTTATATATGATTGATTAAACATGGCTCTAGTTATATATCTTTTTCTGGAATACCAAAGTGTTGATTTTTCCCTCCAAATTCTGTGGCTTTATCAAGAGCTATGAGTATCAACATCTAAACAGTTTATGCCAACAGAATATGAATAATGCTAGTACATTACGTTGTTTGTCTCTTGTTCATACAATGTACAAGAGCATACAACCGTTTTCAGTCTTCTTTCCAGTACTATCAAACACCATTTTTTCCAGGGTGTTGAAATGTAGCTCTAAGAGGCACCTCACCATGATAAAAAGTAACATTGCAAATACTGCTTTAGTGTAAGTTTTTTCCTTTTAAACTTCGGGTGTATATACAATTTCATATGCAAATGGATCAAATATACATCTGTGGATAACAACAGTAAAGCTGACTAGAAAAAGGGAAAATCTTTTCTAATCTTCAGTGGATTTTTATGACCATGGCACCAAAACATTTTATCAATAAGAGGCACGTATAACAATGCTATAAGGGCTGAATGGAAATTCTTGATCCTTGTTGGTAAGAGAACTGGAGCAGAATGCTGCATCCATTTTTAGAAAATAAAAAAATAGAATTATTATGTAAGATCGCTGTGGGCAGAGTCGTCATTGATTAGCATGGAAAAAGTATTATATAGAGTAAAATAGTTTGCAAAGTAAGTAAACTACTTCTAGTGACCTTTTTTTAAAATGACTTTAAAACATGTCCTGCTCACAAAGACGGGGGTATAGTCCTGAGTTCCTGCTTGTCAGTGTTTTGTTAGATGGCTAACAAATAGGTTATACATATCATGTGTATATGTGTGATATATGTATCAAGTCTTCTTTTGGCTGCAGTTCTACAAAGAACACCTGTTTCGAGGTGAAGACCTATGGAAAGACTTGACATATGAGTCCAGAAATGACGTAACCAAAGCTTTATTGCTGGTCTGCGGGAGAGTGGCTGGCACACTGTGAATAAAAGCAATTTGTTAAGAGAAAACACATCTTTAAAACAGTTTTGGTTTTTGTTGTTTTTTTTTTTTAATTCCAGAGCATGATTTGAGAGTCACCAAGGTATTTTACTTTTAGTACAACCCATTAGTTAATAGGTGAGTCCATAGCTGAATTCCATGCTTGAGGATGGAAAGGTGAATTTCATACAGGCATGATGGGGGGTCCGGAGGAAGTGGAAACCCAAAAAGCACCTGCTACTGTAATGCAGGATACTCAGCCTATTGTCACAATGACTTCTGTCAGTGTCCGCTTTCCAGGAGTCTCTGAAAACTACAGTTTCTTTCAGGAAAAGAGTCATGACATGTTACTTCACAGAGCTTTCCTCTAGCTGACAGGTTTATATTATCGATACCAGACATGCATTGTTGACACACACATTTGCTAATTCAAAAACAGGTATAAAATGTAATGGATGAGGAGTTTATTGAGACACATGACCATGGTAATACTGGCGTGAAATTATTTTACATTTAGAAGGGTTATATAATGAAGTGGGTGTCATGATATAAAAGAATATGGGGGCACTCTTTAAGATTCTGCATTACAAAAGTAAAGTTGTTGAGATAAATATTTTTTGAGATATATAATTGGTTTTTATGTTTTGGAAATGGAAGTGAAAAGCTTTTGGAACCTAGGAGGACATTTTTGGCAGTATTGGAGGAGATGTGGAGCCCTAAAGAAAAGTCTAAGTCTTCCTTTTCATTTTTTAAATGCAGTGTTTATTTGGTGTTTAGAAGAAGATACCAAGTGTTTCTATGAATATTTGATACTCCAAGAAGCTAATCAGGAAGATTAAAGGAAAAGGCTTTATAATGTGCTTTATAAATGACCTACTTTGTACCTTCCATTTGCTCGAAATGTGTGCAATGTTCACAGCTTGTACACAAATAGTTATTTCTCTCATAAACATCGTGCATGGAATACCAAATTGCTGATATTGATACAAAGATTGTATCCACTTCATAACAGCTGTAGTTTGTGTCCTGAAAATATTGTTGATTTAAATTTCTCTTATGAACATATTTTTAAAGACAGTTCTTTTCTAAAACAGTTCTGCTATGTTAGAAATGGTTTATGTACTCAAAACACAGAGAGGAAAAGAGTATTCAGTAAATTCCAGAGTCTGAACTTGTGGAGTTAGCTTTTGAGGGTTTTTCAGATGAGTTGAAGGAAATAGCTGAGTAGCAAGGTAAATTAAAAATAGGGAGAAAAATCCAGTTTTTATGGAAGATATAACCAGCATATGTTGATGCCCATGTTAGTAAAATTCCAACCTTTTTGATTTAATGATTGCTTTACCTTGACAATAGCAATGCCTTGTATGTTATTACTATATATCAGAATAAGATTTTTTTTTAATAGTAATTAGTCTAGTAGGTTGTAATGCAGAACAGCCAATTCTGAATATTAGGAGGAAAATCTGTAAAAAGGTGCCAAGTTATTGTTAAATAAACAAATTTTAATTAAAAGGGGTGTTAAGAATTGCTAAGAAACCAAAGAATACAAAAGGTCATGTCAAGATACGCATTCATGCAGGATTGGAAATACAGTAATCTTAAAAGATTGGTTTATGTCATTCAAATGACAAGATTTGGGAGGGAACTTCAGCTGTATGTGGTGGTTACTTTTTGATCTGAGTTCTGAGCAATGGAATAATACTGAACTTGGGCGTTGATCTCACAAACACATGCATTATTGTCTTTGAACATATCCTAGGTAATTAATGGGTTTAATCTTAAATATGACAATCATGTTTTTAAAATTTTTTCCCCTATTTCTCCCTTTTAAAATACTAATGTCTTATGATGGAATTACAAAAAATATTCAACATACATAGAAGAAAATATAAGCAGCATTTCCTAATATGGGAGTGCAAATTTAGAAACTTGTAAAAGTTGCAGTAATATAATCTTGGTCTAGAAATTCTAGTAATAACTTCGTTACTTTTCACAGGGAATAAAAAGGCACAATTATCATGCAAAATAAAGCATGCATGGATGGACATAGGAAGCCACAGAAAGCTTTAAAATATGAAAGTAATACTAATATATCTTGGTTATAGAAATATCTTAATTTTAAATAATCCTACTTCAGAGAGGCACTGACAGAATGCCGGATCAGAACAGCAAATATGTGCTGAGGCTTGCCTGGGGTAAAGGTGGCCCCAAATATTTATGCCTCTCAAACTGCTATTTGATTAAGATAAAGGAACTATTAAATGACAGCCAGAAAAATCACAGCCCATAGACTAAAAAGAGACAAATGATGCAGTAGAATAATTGTTATGAAGCTGCTTGAAACTAAAAGGAAACTGAAATGTGGGTGATTTCTTATGCAAACATACTGGACATTTATTGTAGTCTTTAAGACTTTTTGAACACAAGAGGCCTATCTACAGTGTGCTTGATGGCTCAAGAAAGAGTGCTAAATGTGTTTTCTGTCTGACTTGGTAAACCAAAAAGATAAATGTTTACAGTTCCTTTTTCATAAAGATCCCTTAAAAATAGTATTATGTGCAGACATTATGGTAGTGATTCTCAAAATAGGGATCACAACCCCAAATGGGATCATCCAAGTAGAAAATCAGAATGTGGTTTGGCAACCAGTAGTGAGTTAATGAGCCTGAAGGACAAATGAAGTAAAATCACAAACTAGAAGTTTGATAACTTGTTGAAAACAAATGAGCCATGCCCTACATAACCCCTGCATGCTTCCTAATTCGTTTAATAATCAACATAGAATTGGTCAAATGATTGCAATCTGATCAGAATGATTGAGATGCTGGTTGGAGACCTCTGTCTTCTCAAGGTGACACTTTTTTTTTAATTCAGGTGCAATGACATAACAGATTGATTTATAGAATAAAATCTGGAATAATAATAGATAATAATATAATATAATAAATAGAATCTGGAAACCTACATCTATTCATAGAAGTCATTATGTTTAGTATTTTCAAGAGCCAGAAACTGAATTTTTAAGTAGCATAATCTTGCAGACTATTCACTCTTTCATCAGGGAAAATTGGTCAAATGAGTGATGAGCCAGAGTGATCTTGCTTGTACAGAGTGTGGGACAGAGAGGGAAACCAAATCCAGTTTGAAACTTTCTATGTGAGTAACCTCATAGAAATCAGCATCTGTAAGCTTATTAATACAAAGGCCTAGCAAGTCATTCACCAGTAAAACCAGAGATTGATATTTATGGAGGCTGGACACTATCTCATCTTTAATTATTAGTACTGTCTGTGAT